CTCTACATGTTTCGAGGATGAAGTTGTAACGTCGAAACATGTAGAGTCGTCAACTTTTTGAAGGCCATAGTTAGTCCTAAATAAAATGCCTTTAATTGTGTACCAGTTTAACGTTGAATATTATTTATGATTTTAACTTTACACACAAGTGCCAAAATGCTATAATAATGATTTAACCTGTTTATATTTTATGTCTGTATGAGATTGGCTACGTGTAAATGTTTTGTAACTTGCTAAGTCATATATGTTTATACATATTTACGTACGGGACTTTTCACTGCAAAACAGTGACAGTTGCAGGAGGTTTTAATGTTAGGAGTTCTTGTTTAAATAAAAACACCAACTTAAAAGTAAATATTTACTTTATCATGCAGTTAGTCAAGAGTTATGTGTTTTAATGTTGCTGGTCTCATACGTATATAAATCATTAAGGAAATTAGATTAACGTCGTGTTGTTGGTGCTCTAAGCCACAATGAACATGATCAGGAAATTGATTGCAAAATTTCGGTACACGTACTCAGACATAGGGGTTCTATAAATAACGCTAGCTTTTCGTAATAGTGTTGTTGTCATTATGAAAGTGTAAATTACAGTTTATGTTTTATTATATTATCCCTTTAAAACTTTATTCTTAAAAGTCTTCTTAATCTAAATTAAATGTAACTTAAACTATTGATTTTAATATGCAATACCACTTTTAATTAATAAGCACCTTTTACTAAAACTTACAGACGATCTGAAGAAGATCGGCTTGTGGTAATTTGACCATGTAGAAGCTTAGCGATGTGTTATAAAAGTAATTTATTTATGACGCTGTACGATACATCTTAATCTGTGGTGTAAAGGAAACTAAATGGTGCATAATTCATTTTCATTTATAAGCTTTTCAATATGAATCTATCGTACAGATGTTATCATAATATACATGTATCTAACCTTTTATACAATAGTCCCAAAGAAGGGACAAGGCCCAAAACGTTGTTATTATGTTCAAGTAAGGCTATTTCTTACTCAGACCTTCTGTTTTCAGTTTTTTTCCAAGATAGCTTTAATTATTTGCCAAATTTACCCTACAGTTACAACAATGGCTTTTCTACTATTCATTATAAGACAACAGCTATAATCTTACTTGGTTTTTTTACAAAGGAAAAAAAATTATGAGCACGATACCAAAAATCACGTGGGATCAATGACAGGCAGGCATACAAACTACCGACGTCAGCATTGGCTAACAAGCATAAAAGAAAGCGTTGGTATTTTATCTGTGATATTACATTTTCATGCCGAAAGGAATACTGATAGGGCTGGATATCACAAAAAGAGTCCTTCTTGTATTTAGTTAAGTTGCATATTTAGAGGCAGACATCGTATCGAGCATATATGTCAAGTTACTTGTAGATGTATTATTTTTGATACGTAGAAAATATTTAGTGAATTGTCAAGATATATAAAAAGTCCATGTTTGTGAAATATTACGTTCGAGAAGTAATCTAAGAACCGCACTTACTAAATGTATTTCTACAAAGTGTATCGAAGTATAGGATCCAGAGATGTAGAAATTAAATGTTTTATTTTGATTAGTCCAGCCCAGTAAGTGGGAAGACATACTGCCCATGATTAAAAGAGGAGCAATTGATTTTTCATGTAAACAACTGCAATGATGAATTAATGGTATCATAACTTTTCACTGTTTTATTCGATAATTTTGGAAATCAGTATGTGAGTTTATGTTTTCATGAACATTATACATGCATAATCACAAAACTTTTTCTTATAGTTTAAATACGTATAATTTTGTGATTTATGAAAGTAATTTAATGGTTTCATATTTGTTCACATTTGCACATCTTACATGCATTTTCTTTAGAAAAACCACCTACGTTGACAAAACATTTCACGAGCAACTACTTATGCCTGGGAAGCCGGTATCTCTCAAGTGTGTGACTACAGGATCGCCTCTCCCTCAGGTGTCATGGACGTTAGATGGCGCTCCTCTGCCCTCAGATCGTCGAATACAAACTGGAGACTTTGTCCACATGGACGGATCACTTGTCAGTTACGTGAACATTACAGACCTGAGTCTTCAGGATGGGGGAAGTTACCAGTGTCAAGCCACGAATGACGTTGGCATATCAAACCACGAGGCAAGAATTGATGTAATCGGACGTCCGTATATACGTCCGATGAAAAACTTAACTGTTGTTACAGGTCGAAATATTGAAGTTAGATGTCCTGTTTCTGGATACCCCATTGAGAAAATCTACTTCAAGAAAGGTAAGATTACTATCCATTTTCAAACTTGAGTATAAAGACCCGAAGCATTAGCATGTCCGCAGAAAAGGTGAAATAATATTTGACAATTTATGCAAAGGCACTTTACTAGTTGTTATTATGCATAGTTTCTCTTTTCGAATTTTTACATTCACGCATAACAATTGAATCTGAAAAACAAAATTATCATTATCTTTTAACTTCTATTCACAAATAAACGTAATATATATATATAAAGTAACAGGGGAATTAAGTATTTCTATAACGTTGATAAGAATTTTTAAAGGCTTTCAGAAAAAAATTAGAAACATTTTATGTTGACTAAATGGATGATTTCCTGATAATTGGGACACACTTTGTAATTTCTAAAAACACTGTTTTTGAAACTGCTTATTTTTCAGCAGCTATTACAATACCTCTTTTTAAATCATGGCATGCAATCAAATTCATAGTAAAGACAAAAATGATCCGAAAATGTATATTACTCTAGTAAAACAGCTTAAATGGTAAAATTATTTTAATATTACTATTTTCTTAAATCGAATGATTTATGTAGGAAAATCGAAATACTTATTATATATTTCTTATAATGTACACATACTGTACATCAATGTTGATTATTTAATATACTATTAACATATGGACAAACAAGAGCTCAATACAGGTACATACATCATGCAATATTCGAAAGCATAATGTCTTACGTATTTAAGCCAGTTATCGAATGGCTATTTTCTAAAGTACTCTGACGAAACTAGCTTTCCAAGAGATCTATAATTTAAATTTGGAACTCTGAACGTATGTCTCTTAATGAAATGCAGAGCCAAATCAAGTCTTTATGATTTGTTTGTCTAGTGGAATTAATTTGAAGGCAAATAACAAGTAGGCATTACGTGACTTTGTTTGGAAACGGTAGAGCCTGTATGTGCGTTGCTTCTGGGTAATTAAGTTAAATCCAGCGTGGTAATTGCGTAAGAGGCTTTTTTTTTTAACCAAATTAAATCCCTAAATTCTGTTTACTCTTACAAACTGTACTTAATTTCTTTAGTCAATACTGCTTCCAGTTGGATGCATCCGTAATGTCACTCCTCTCTAACCAGCTTGCAAGTCAATGTCTGAAACATTTAAGGAGTACGCTGTAAATTGTGAAATGATGATTTTACGTTTCGTAGGTTTAAGAAGCTCGCAAGTTAATCTGTAATTGAAGCGTTGTTCTAGTGCACGTCTGTACTTCCACGTCAAATGCGCCGAAGCCCCCATGAATTGTACGTTCACTGAATCGTTCATAGAGATTTTATTATTTGAGTATCTGAAGCCTCCGGGACAATACCATTGAGCCAAAAATACAGTAGAATACTTGGTATTAATTTAATTGTGACTGGAATTAGGATTTGAGAGCATAAATTTAAACTCTGTATTACATTATGGAAGAACATCCTATGTCACATTTTCACGCTGACCTTTATTCTGTATTTAGTTGAATTTCCTTTTTAAATATTTTACATAAAAAAAATTACAAATTTTGATTTAGATGCATCATATATTGCATTCACTTATTTTTACTTTATTGTTAAGAATACCTCTGTAATACGAACAACATCTCTTTGTTCAGTAAATGAGTTTTTACGAACCCTGGCGCTGTGTAAACATCGACTTTGTTGTAATGAAAGATAGTCACTATGTTTTTTTGAACGTCACAAATAAACGATCTGCGAAATCTGGTTAATTGAAAACAACAATAACATTATTTTAAGCAATAAATTAAGAATATCTGGTTTAATTATTATTAAACTCTGGTTCAGTCTTAAAATTACTTTTGTATGTTTCTTAAGAAATTATATATTTTAATGATTATAATAACACGGGTATACTGGTAAAATTGATAAGAAATGTTTTCCCTGTTTTTGTTTCCATTTCATTCGATAATTCAATTTACATCCATATCCATGTTATATACACATACACATGTATCTATTCATTTATTTATTGTCTTTAAAAGAGACTTCCAACTTCATCACTTCTTGTTTTTACAACTATTTTCGTAGTTACCAAGATACAACGGTGAAAAACACTGCAATTTTTTTATCTATTTGAAACATTTCCTTTTATTAATTCTAATCATTATATTTGATAATTCTAAAATGTAACTATTAACTCATTTCAAAGTTTCATTTCTTATTGTTTGGAGATCTAGACTTTCAACTTTATTATTAAATGCAATTATTTTAATTTAATTTTGTCTTTTCACGAATATGTATTTTCATTTAATGTTGCTTAGTCATTCTCTTTCATCTTTTTGTTTATTATTCTTGTCGTATTACATGTAGTTCATACGAACCAGTGATACGTAGTTTTTACTAATGATGAATTTTCAAGAATCAATGAATGGCAAAAAAAAATTAAAGTTATAACCATTGTTAAAAAAATTAAATTACTTACTTTTGGTAATAAATTTCAAACACTCATGTAAAGTATGATGTTTTTATTTATTCGTAGAGTAATAATTGTTGTTATATTCAGACGGTTTCAGATTATACCTGAGTGATTCCATAAAATATATTATTAAATTATCTTTTTCGTTTAGGTTTGCGATGTAGCTTTTTGGCATGATGCTTTCCTTACTACCCTTATTAATTCCTCATTCTAAAAAAAAAGCAATTTGTGTTTCATAGAACAATTTTGGTAAAATGAAAGTGATCATTTGATACCTTTATAGCCGGTCAAGCTATTCCATCATCTTATGGAAACATGATACAGAGAGACAAATCCCTAATAATCCACGACGTGAGAACGTATTTCTTCGCGGAATTGAAATAGTTATTCACTGAGAAAAGTGTTCCCACTAGGTCATTTCAGGGTCTCAGTGCCTCCTTATTTCTGATCTGTAAGTGCATGTATATATCGGTTTGTGTTTCGTTACTTACCAACAACATTCAAAACGAAGCTTCCTACTGCGCTCTCTCCTTGCCCGTTTTCAGCCACACAAACGTATACTGCAGCATCCTCTGTTGTACATACAGTAGACTGAAATGGCGGGAGGAGGGGGGGGGGAGTTACGTTCTACATTTCGTTTCCTTTTGTATCATGTCAGCTAGATGTTGTGATTTGGATCAAACGTTAGACCAAAGGCATTACTCTTATTCAAGACGAAGAGAAACCTGAAATTAATCACTATATTTGTTTTTATTATTAATTTGTTTTATTCTTCTCCTCCCAACTAACTGCAAACTCTAATTAGTAGTTTAGGTGTGGAAAGTTATGAGCTGAAGAACATTTGTTTTTATTATGCTATAGATGAAAGTCGTTTATATAGGTTTAATCTAATATTCTATGTAAAGTCCACTGAAGAGTGAGTCTTATTTCGTCTCTTGTGTCTTGGTTGTATTTATTTGTCATACGTGTGCAATTATTCTGGCTTTAATCTGGTTGTTGGATTTACAGTATGTATGTGTATTTATTTGCATACACATTATTCATAATACATGGAAACGGAAATACGTACGAAACAAAAAAACAGAGCAGTATTTTAGGTTCCTGTAGTAATATCGTTTCAACTAAGTAAGAGAAATGATTTTACGATGACAAGAGATGACGTCAGTGGTTAAGTTATTTTCCAGTTAAAGAGGCTATTCTATTCCTTAAGATCCGTTCAATTAAAAAAGAAAAGAGAACACAAGAGACTGAACTAGAGTAGTGTCAGTATCCTTATATTCTACAACATGCATATTTCATTCTGAACTTTTCCTTGCTTCACAATGAGTCATGTTGTTTTAGTAATAATGGTATTATATCTTACATTCGTATTGCTTACTTTCTAGGTTTTCTAGGTTATATTAACATAAAGGTTCCAATTCTATCTTAAAATACCCTTTTAAAACGAAGATTTTTAAACCAATAAAATTTGGCGACGTCATATGACGTGATTTTTGTCAGATGGATGCTCAAAAACATGCACATATCATTTTTGGGTCATTCTAGAGTAAAAGTTGAATTGTATCATTTAGGATCATTACAAAAATAACTAAATCTGGAAAAAATCAACTTACACAACTAACAGACTTGGCTTTCAAAATATCTACACTTAATAGATTTGCTAACAATAGTTGTGACCTATCATTAGATCCATGGATGTTAGATTTGATACCATAAACGCGTTTTCTTCCATATTTAAAGTTTGTTTTGGCTATGGACTTGTTAAACTTCTGATGGGTTTTCAATTAGTTGATACGTTACTCGTAGCATATTTGGGTATAAAATAACGGGTTCAAATATCACAGAAATTCATACCACCAATCCTGTCTTGGCATCTTGACCTTAACTGGCTGTCTGTAGCAGTGCACCATGTGATTCACATGCACATCAAGTGGAGACAGAGCTACAAGTATAACTATCAAGTGCTAACAGTTAAGCAAGTTCATAGATATTATATTATGATATTTATGAAAATTTCCTGTTTTTAAAAAGAAGTATATCTACTTTAACATAAAGCACCTTACACACTTAAAAAAAGAAATACATCTTTCTTTATAACAACAGTTTACATACGCTAACACATTGGCTTTTTGCTGGCGGCATGTTTAGCACCTGCGTATATGGCGCCTAGCTTTGTTTCAAAGAGGGGGGCAAGGGTAGGGAAGAACTGACGACACGAGAGACTTGTTTTTTTCGGAAAAAAAAAATTCAAAATGAAGTGGAACATACCCTCTTTGCTCCCCTGCTTAGATGCCTTTGCCAATATATATTTGGTTCACGGCAAACTCCACAACATTCGCCTTGAGTACAATTATGGCTGAAATAATATATCACGGCTCTTTTCGAGGAGGTTATTCATGTGGTCAAATTTCAAAACGATGTTGATCCAAAATACATAATATTTCAAGAAAAGAAACCTTAAACTCTTCCATGAAAGTGGAAAACACTCATACAACTAACTAAGACCTAGAATAATGCCCTAATCCACAAAGTGAAGATTACGAAAGATAAAACTCTGTCCCAAAACAGTCCACTACAATGAATCTGGACATATCTCCTGGTCCAGTTAACAAGATAAGAAATAACATTTTTGACGTTGACAAACAGCTTACAAGCTAAACGCCTATAGCCATGCCACAAAATTAAATATGTTTTCATGAGAAAAATGTCCGAAGAAACTGGAACCACAATAATCCCTATTCGTTCACATACATGTAGAGTTTCCTGGTGCAACTGTAATAGACTTTTATGCCCTTGGTCCAATTAAACGTACTCTTGAAAGCCGATGTCTACCAACAGTAAAGGACCTGTGGAAAATTTGTCAAAATATGTGAGATGAAATTGACATCGTTGTCTTTCAAATAAGCTAACTAGTTACAATGGAAATTGTGGTCACGGGCAATGAGCACGTTCGATAATGTAGGAAGTAGTTCCAAAAGAAGCATGGCGTCTGGAACATCGTTCCTAGAAAATGTATTAACCTTAGTTCTACCTCTCTACAAACGAATTTTGTCTAAATCTGATTTTGATTTTGTTTTCATTCTTTCTCTTTTCCTATCTATATTTTCTTTAGGAGATACATTTTCGAGAGCTTAGTATTCTCTATGTTTTTAGTTTTAAACATACATTATAGATTACTTAAATGCTAGTTGTAAGTAATACTAAATCACAGTTTGAAACTTTATCACGAAGAGTAAACATTTACAATAAGTTTATACATGTTGACTTGCAAGATCAAAGTCCTTTACAGAAAACAAACACAAAAAAAACACCGCTCGTTCATGGATATCGTTAGATATGGCTAATTAAGTTGACCTGTTTTTCAGAATTTTAAGCACATTATTGAGTAGAACAACTAAAAACATAATCGAATCAAGGATACAGATCTACTAGTCTATCCTTAAAAGTGCTACTTTGTTTGATCATCTTATTGAACTCAAACAAGACTTACAAAACGTGCATATATTATTTTTCATTATTAACCTTCTGTGTGAGTTGCAATGTAAATTCACTGTCGATCTCGTGATTCACAACGTAGTTTTTATTCTTTTTTTTTTGCGAAACGTAAATGATAATGCTTTGTTCACTTAGAAAACATGAGAATGAAGGAAAAACAAGTTGATTACAGTTACTAATGAAATTGAATGCTACAAAATATATATATTATGTATACCTTTTTTTGCAGCTGCTCCAGTACTTAGTCCAATCTCATTTCCTAAAAATCTAGAAGAAGGAATGAGAACTTCACTCACGTGCACAGTCTTGGCGGGTGATCCACCAATTAGCTTAGCTTGGTTCAAGGATGGTCAACCTATACAACATAACAATGGCAATACGAGAGTAGTGACTATTAGTGAATATATCATTTCCTTAGTGGTGGACAGCGTCCATCGACGACACAGTGGTAACTACACTTGCATTGCAAGTAACATGGCAGCTTCTGTAAATACTACTGCTAATATGGTTGTACGAGGTAAGAAGTAATATAAAACAAGCTAATTATGATATTACTGAATATCAGCTGTGTAGAGTATTTAAAAAAAAATATGTTTATTACAATGAAAACTTAACTTTTTTTTTCATTAATACTTTAACAAAATTACTACTTTTTTGGTGTGTGTTTTTTATATATCTAAATTTCAGAATGTTCTTTACTGAGGCATGATGATATTGAACACATGAGTGTAGTATTTTATGACTGCTTATTTTATACGTTTCTGAAGGAGTTCAACAATTGACCGACATTCGAAATTACGTAATTTTAACCGTTCGACTTCTAACCGACTGAAACATCGGGTCTTTAGTACTATAAACCCAAGTCCTAATCTTAACTTTATCAGAACGGTAGTAACTGCAAAGTGTCCGATATTTTAGCAAAACATTCCTCAACACGTGGTCTTAAAGAAACTTGACTACATTACCTTTTTCATACAGCTGTTGTCTCTCGGTAGGTCAGCGGTGAGTTTATAGACTTACAATGCTAAAATCCGGGGTTCAGTTCTAAAGGCAGACATAGTACAGATAGCTCATTATGTAGCACTACACTAAAATAAATCACACACTTGCTTTAGCAATTGAAGAAGGTGTGGAATCGCATCGACAATGAGTTCGAAGCACAATATACAAAGGTGCTTGAGATTTTAATATCTATTTTTATTTAATGGATAGGCCCCGACATGGACAAGTGGTTAGGGCGCTCGACTCGCA